AACTGTCATACCAGTCTCTCGTGTCTCAATGTTTTATATTTTGCTTAATAGCTTATATCTCTTTCAAACATATACACCACACACATCCAAAATTACCAGGTACAATAAGGAGAAATACTTTCCTTTCTGTTCTTACCAGAATCCTTAAACAAGGAGGTAAAGTGATTCTTCCCACAGTCATTTAATAAAACAGAATATTATAGAGTAGTCACTGATCAGCAAACAATATCTAACAAAATTGATTTAAAGAGTTAATCAATGGTTAATGAATGCCTTCGAGTTTCATTACACAATATTAGTGTAGCACTGAGTCTGGAAAAATGGTACACAAAAGACACATGCATACACATAAATATATTTTAAACATACTTCTGATGTTTCTATTGAGAAATTCATTACTGTGAAGAAATCTTAAGATAGGCAACTTAATAACATATTTCAAATTTCATTTTATTTTAGAATAAGTTTCCATAAAAGTCTTAAGCTATATACAACTAAGCTACTTCTAACCTCAAGTGTTAGAGTTCCTTAACAGTAATCCCAAACCAGAGTTCCTAAACAGTAATCCAATACAAACTTTAAATCCAGGAACTACCAGTGAGATTTTCCTGGAAAATTTCAATTGCTGAAAAGCAGTGAAGAGGAAAAAAATTATGCTTTTCTATGAAAATAAAAAGCAAAGTGCTAGCAAATTAGTTAACATAGTAAAACCTCACTGAGGAATAATCTAAGGTTCATAGGGTAACAATAGATTCAAAAGGGGAAGAAAGTTTTTCTCCAACAGAAAGCCACTTTAACAGAGGGGCAATTATTTTAAATCAGTATGTAAACTCCAACCGAGATTTCGCTCTATTTTATCGAAGCTCCACTATTATGTAACACCACTAATAACCAAACACGCAATGCCAAAGACAATCTGTTGAGGCTGAGTTGCCATGACCCCCGCCCCCAAAACTGACCACTTTTATCTTGATAGAAAAGGTACTAGAAAACCAAATAAAACCATCATTTGTTAAAATATATTCAGAAGTATACAGCAAATGTAAAAATAGATGGGAAATGTTTAAGAAAATAAACTAGGTGAATTTTAAATATAAGCAATATTTAGTATGAAAAATACATTTACACAAGTAACTACACGCCACATTAAGTTATAATTAAAAACTGACAAATCTACAAACAATGTTTAACCCAGAACAGAAAGCTTTTTTCCCAAGTAAGTTCAAACAGAAAAAAACCCAAATTTTTCTTTTTTTGGTTGGGGGGAAGGGGCATACCGCACATGCTTGCCTAATCTTAGTCCCCTGGCCGGGGATCCAACACAGGCTCTGGCAGTGAAAGTGTGGGGTCCTAACCACCGGACTGCCAGGAAGTCCCTGAAACCCAAACCTCTTGTTTCCACAGAAATTCAACTTTGATATTGACAGCATTTTTCTTCTGATCAAAATCCAGTAAACTCAATTACCAAAAAGTCTAAAAATCATCTCTCCAATCCCAGTCTCTTTACTCCTTTACTTCGCCTTTAAATTGCAGATAGGTTGATTTTTCCAAAACATGTTTTTTGGTAAACACCCTTTATTCAAAAGACCTCAGTGCTACTACCTCTGACCACATTCTCCCACAGTTCAAAGGACATTAAGTTCCTTAGCCTGGTAACAAAGGCTCCAACTTCCCTTTCTGGCCTCCTCTTATAACTCTCCTAGAGGAATCTTCTCCAATCAAATCGTTTGACCCACTGACTTCAGAATTTCACATTGCAATTTCATAATTAACAAAATAGCTTACTCTAAAGATTAACACTATGGAAAGCAAAGCAAATTTTCTAAACATGTTTAAAAATGGTAAGAATGAAATGTATTCAAACCTTATATATTTTAAGAGACTAAGTTAACGTCTTGTTGTTGCTGTTCAGTCGCTAAACTGTGTCCGACACTTGCAACCCCATGGACTGTAGCCCACCGGGCTCTTCTGTCCATGGGATTTCCCAGGCAAGGATACTGGAGTGGATTGCCATTTCCTCCTCCAAGTTAATGTCTAGTTATCACCTAAAATGACTGAAAAAATCTGGAATAGAACCAGACCTAGGGCTTCCCTGGGTGGCACACTGGTTAGGAATCCACCGGTTAATGCAGGAGACACAAGTTCGATCCCTGCTCTGGGAAGAACCCACATGCTGCATGGCAACTAATCAGGTGTACCGCAACGACTCAGCCAGCACCTAGAGCCCTGGAGCCCCAACCACAGAGCCCACGTGCCGCAACTACTGAAGTGTGGCCTAAAGCCTGTGCTCCGCAACAAGAGAAGCCACCTCAGTGAGAAGCCCACGCATCACAATGAAGAGCAGTCCCTGCTTACCACAACGAGAAAAGACGGCACTAAGCAACAAAGACCCAGCACAGCTAAAGATAAATAAATCTTTATATACACACACACACACACAGAACTAAACCCATATCGTCTCTCAAGATTTTAAGATACCCATACGGCAAAGCCACCATTCATTCCTGAATGAAAACTTAGGTGACAGAACTAGTTCGGATAGCACAAGAGATGTGGAAAACCTGGACAGTTTCTACATACTTGAACTCCCCTGATAATATTTAATTATTCACCATGAGGACCCAAACTGTTTCTAAATTCTGCAGGCCAGTAAGTTACCACTACTTTCGCAGTGAAAGTACTTCCCTAATTTCACCCTACAACGTTTTAAAAAATTTAAGTTGTTTTAGAGGAAAGATAACTATTTTCATGAGCATAAATGGTTAGGAAGTTTTGGCTGTAATCAACAAACTTCTGAGCACTGAAGTTTAGATCCTAAACTTGAGAAAATTAACTTTCTCCAAATTATTAAATAGTTTAAAACTTATTTAAACTAAACCACTGGAATAAAATGAAGTAGAACGTAAAGGCATAACAACAGTTCCACAGATCCTAAATCCCTTTGCTAAGATATTTACTTTTTGTAGAAACAGTACCTGACATTTATGGAAAAAGAAAGCAAAATAAAAAACTTCTTTTACAAGAAAGAAAATACTGAGACTTGGTTCAAAATTTTCAGAGGATACAGGGCGGAGAGGGAGGTGGGAGGGGGGACCGGGATGGGGAATACATGTAAATCCATGGCTAATTCACTTCAATGTATGACAAAAACCACTGCAATGATGTAAAGTAATTAGCCTCCAACTAATTAAATGGGAAAAAAAAATTTTCAGAGGACAAAGTGTGTATTAACTTAACCAGTAAATCCGCTTCTTCCTGGAGATACTGACAACCACACAAAAAGAGAGGGAGGCAGTATCTGAGATATCAGGTTATCTGATTATGCCCATGTGCTGCATAAGCAAATCTACAGCATAGGCAGAAGAAACGAAAGGCAAGAATCAAAGAAAGTTATAGAAGAAAGGAGTAGAGAGTCAAGGGGACAGTTGGGAGTAAGGATAGAAAGAAGGTGAGAGAGCTAAATGTAAAAGACTAGAAAGAAGAGGAAAAATAAATCAACAAAAAGAGAGGCAGTGTTGCTGAGGTACATTTGCCACAGAGACATTACTCCCAAAGGTAATATGCTACTCCCAGGAAGTAATTGATAAATCATTTGAAAACCATTCTTAGAAAATCTGATTCTTAAGAAGAATTAAACCCAGAATCTTTTCCTAAATGCTCTCAAATTGTATACTTTTATTACACTTATGTACAATTATTGTGAATTATAAATTTTTATTTTTGAATTTTAACCTCAGAATCTGTTTGATAAGTTCTAAGTTTAAACTAACACCTGATTTGTCATACTCTTAAGTGATACATCAGTATTAATCCCTTAAAAAAAAATACAGTAACTTCTGGGTATTTATATAACATAATAGAGGAGAAAAACAAACAGCAACAACCACACACACAAAAAAAAACCTAAAAAAATGAAAATTTCTTAAAGATAGTATGTCTTAATCAGGGTACCTATGAAAGTGATGCAACATACAGCAGATGGGATCTGAAACAAGTACTTTATTTTTAAAAGGTGCAGAACTAAAAGAATTGGTGAGGTGAATGGCCCTGGAGCTGGTACTGGAAATACAGAAAATATTTTAAAGAGAGGAACTAGTAAAAATCCAGGTGAGGTGAATGGCCCTGGAGCTGGTACTGGAAATACAGAAAATATTTTAAACAGAGGAACTAGTAAAAATCCAAAGTCAAGAAGAGTTAATGAAATGCCTTTAAAGACAGAAGATATGAAATATTAACTAAGATTCTACTTTTGTCTGGTCTTCCAAAACAAAAGGGTATTCCTGACTGGTCTGGGTATCTTTAGCAGGACTCATGAAGGGATGTTAGTGAGAATTTTTAAAGATGTTTGAAGCTCTGAAAAGAGTACCATAGACTCCTACAATCTTTCCAGGTCACAGGGAAGATTGTGTGACCTTAGAATCTCTTCATAGCTTTTTCTCACAACATTCTTTCCAATACAGGGCTCAATAACTAAACAATAGGCATTTAGGCCTTTTCTTTTTGACCTTAGACTACATTTTACATTTGTTCACCAGAAAGACCCTCTTCAAAACTGACACACACCATGATAGTTTTATCAGAAAGTATCTAACCATAAAGTAAGTGGCACAATTTAGCCAGAATAATTTCAGAACCATTCTACCTCTAAATTCTGAGAGTTATCAGTGAGAGGTTTGGTTCTTTGGGTTTGACTTTTGTATGTTTTCTCCAATTGTTCATTTTCTCCAACTTTACAACTGCCTTACATAGCCACTATCCTTTTACCCTCCTTCTTTACTTTCCTCCTATATGTACAGATACACACAAAAAGAATGTCAGTCCCGTTATGTGTGTATATGTATGTGTGTAAACATGTATATGCACATATATACATACTAAAATACACATGGCCAATATCAGAGTATAAACCGAAGACATGAATAACATCGCAGAACAGGCGTAAATTCATTTATTCTTATTTCTAAGCTAAAACACAAATGTGGTTAGTTACTACAACTCACCAGATGGTTCCTCAGGCTCACTTTCATTTTCTTCCTCAGGTGGGGCTTGAGGGGGTGGTGGAGGAAGCTTCTTTTCCTTCTCTGCTTTAGCATTTCTCTCTTCTTCTGAATAATACTCGTCTTCTGAGAGGTTGGCCAAACTTTCATCCATCTCTCTGTACTCTACCTATATGGAGATTATACCAGGGAAAGCTAAATACAGTGGACATCTGAAGTCAGAAACTCTATTTGAAACCGTAGGTAAATATGAATTGCTTTCTATCTTCAATTTTTAAAGGAAATAAGCAGAGAACAAAGAACAGGTTAGCTCCTAACAGGTAACCATTAAAAACAAAATCTCTCATGAAACAATCTAGTGTCAGTTCAGATTTAGCCCAAACTCACTTTCACATCACAGAACTGAAATTCAAATCAATGACTCTGAGGCTCTCTACAACTAAAAACTGTGTTTGTGCATGATCTATATGTAAGTATATATTATGTTCACATACTGCAAGTTTCAACAAAAGACAAACAGTCCTCGGTCAGACAAAAATATAGTCAACTAGAATAACAAGTCTGTCCAATGCCAATCTGTACTTCTAACTACTATTACATAGGAAATAGGAAAACAGCAAAAGAATTTCAGAAACCAAATCAGAGGTGCGGTGGTAGGCAGGGAATAAAAGCTGCAAATGGTAGTAGTCAAGTTAAAAACAATATAAAGGTACATTTGCTCAAAGAAACAAAACACTGGTGACTGAAGAGAGTTGAATGATTAGAGCAAAGAATCCTTATGATCACAAACTAAGAAGTAAGTCATGGGGAAATGGAGACTACAAGCCTTATTGCTACTAATTTATACTGGTTATAAAGAAGAAATGCAGGTCACAAGTAGAAAGAGGAGGCAGTCCTACTGAATGTTTTATTGTGGGATAGAGCAACTTAGGATAGAGAAGATTATTATGGACCTCTCTGTTAAAATGTGTAATGTGGTATTACAAACAGTCATCAACCTTGCTCAGTTCAGTCACTCAGTCATGTCCAACTCTTTTTGACTCAATGGACTGCAGCACAACAGGCTCCCCTGTCCATCACCAATTCTCAGAGCTTGCTCAAACTCATGTCCATCAAGTCTGTGATGCCATCTAACCATCTCCTCCTCTGTCGTCCCCTTCTCCTCCTGCCTTCAATCTTTCCCAGCATCAGGGTCTTTTCAAATGAGTCAGTTCTTTGCATCAGGTGGCCAAAGTACTGGAGTTTCAGTTTCAGCATCAGTCCTCCCAACGAATATTCAGGACTGATTTCCTTTAGGATGGACTGGTTTGATCTCCTTGCAGTCCAAGGGACTCTCAAGCGTTTTCTCCAACACCACAGTTCAAAAGCATCAATTCTTTGGCACTCAGCTTTCTTTATAGTCCAACTCTCACGTCCATACATGACTACTGGAAAAACCATAGCTTTGACAAAAGACTAAAATAGTCCTCAGTCAGACAAAAATATAGTCAACTAGAATAACAAGTCTGTCTAATGCCAATCTGTACTTCTAACTACTATTCCATAGAAAATAGGAAAAAACCTTGGAACACTGTCAAATCATCATTTTGACTCCCATCCCAATAAAGATTTCAAGAAGCCACAGAAACAACAGCTGTCTATCCTGGATTCAATGAAAAGACAAAATGAATAAAATAAACAATAATTTACTGGCTGTGGAGACAGGGCAAGGACAACATGGCTTCCACATAAAACACACCTAACTTACTAGAGTTCTGAAATGTGAAATCCTGTGGATTAGAGAGAATATAGTCTATTTTAATTTTTGAAACATCTCTGAAACAGCTCCAGGTTGCTGGCTGCTATTATCTGTCTTCTTTTTTTAAAAGTGACATGACCACAGATTTGGGGAGTCAGTAGATAAGGGAACAGAGGTAAGAGTTTTACTGAAAACATGGATTGGATTAGAAAATGGAAACAATTATGTAAAAATTGAATAGTTTTGACGTGCTCTAAGAATCTTCAAATCTCTTATGATTATACAGTGGAAGTGAGAAATAGATTTAAGGGGCTAGATCTGATAGAAAGAGGGCCTGATGAACTATGGATGGAGGTTTGTGACATTGTAGGGAGACAGGGATCAAGACCATCCCCAAGAAAAATAAATGCAAAAAAGCAAAATGGCTATCTGAGGAGGCCTTACAAATAGCTGTGAAAAGAAGAGAAACTAAAAGCAAAGGAGCAAAGGAAAGATATACCATTTGAATGCAGAGTTCCAAAGAATAGCAAGGAGAGCTAAGAAAGCCTTCCTCAGTGATCAATGCAAAGAAATAGAGGAAAACAACAGAATGGGAAACACGAGAGATCTCTTCAAGAAAATCAGAGATACCAAGGGAATATTTCATGCAAAGATAGGCTCAATAAAGCACAGAAATGGTATGGAGCTAACAGAAGCAGAAGCTATTAAGAAGAGGTGGCAAGAATACACAGAAGAACTATACAAAAAAGATCTTCATGACCCAGATAATCACGATGGTGTGATCACTCACCTAAAGCCAGACATCCTGGAATGTGAAGTCAAGTGGGCCTTAGGAAGCATCATACAAACAAAGCTAGTGGAGGTGATGGAATTCCAGTTGAGCTATTCAAATCCTAAAAGATGATGTTTTGAAAGTGCTGCACTCAATATGTCAGCAAATTTGGAAAACTCAGCAGTGGTCAAAGGACTGGAAAAGGTCAGTTTTCATTACAATCCCAAAGAAAGGCAATGCCAAAGAATGTTCAAGCTACTGCACAATTGCACTCATCTCACACACTAGCAAAGTAATGCTCAAAATTCTCCAAGCCAGACTTCAGCAATACGTGAACTGTGAACTTCCAGATGTTCAAGCTGGATTTAGAAAAGGCAGAGGAACCAGGGATCAAATTGCCAACATCCGCTGGATCATTGAAAAAGCAAGAGAGTTCCAGAAAAACATCTATTTCTGTTTTATTGACTATGCCAAAGACTTTGACTGTGTGGATCACAATCAACTGTGGAAAATTCTGAAAGAGATGGGAATACCAGACCACCTGACCTGCCTCTTGATAAACCTGTATGCAGGTCAGGAAGCAAGTTAGAACTGGACATGAACAACAGACTGGTTCCAAATGGGAAAAGGAGTATGTCAAGGCTGTATATTGTCACCCTGCTTATTTAAATTATATGCAGAGGACAGCATGAGAAATGCTGGCCTGGAAGAAGCACAAGCTGGAATCAAGATTGCTGGGAGAAATATCAATAACCTCAGATATGCAGATGACACCTCCCTTATGACAGAAAATGAAGAAGAACTAAAGAGCCTCTTGATGAAGTGAAAGAGGAGAATGAAAAGGTTGGCTTAAAGCTCCACATCAGATCATGGCATCTGGTCCCATCACTTCATCACTTCATGGCAGACAGATGGGGAAACAATGGCTGACAATTTTTTTGGGCTCCAAAATCACTGCAGATGGTGATTGCAGCCATGAAATTAAAAGATGCTTACTCCTTGGAAGGACAGTTATGACCAACCTAGACAGTATATTAAAAGGCAGAGACATTACTTTGCCAACAAAGGTCTATCTGGTCAAGGCTATGGTTTTTCCAGTGGTCATGTATGGATGTGAGAGTTGGACTATAAAGAAAGCTGAGTGCTGAGGAATTGATGCTTTTGAACTGTGACATTGGAGAAGACTCTTCAGAGTCCCTTGGACTGCAAGGAGATCAAACCAGTCCATCCTAAAGGAGATTAATCCTGGGTGTTCATTGGAAGGACTGATGTTGAAGCTGAAACTCCAATACTCTGGCCACCTGATGCAAAGGGCTGACTCATTTGAAAAGACCCTGATGCTGGGAAAGACTGAAGGCAGGAGGAGAAAGAAACGACAGAAGATGAGATGGCTGGATGGCATCACTGACTCTATGGACATGAGTTTGAGCAAACTCTGGGAGATAGAAGGAGAGGGAAGCAGACATGACTGAGCAACTGGACAACAACATAAAATTTTCTTTTATAAAAAAGGACTTTTTCCACTTGCTAAAAAAAGCCTGAAAACCATCTCAAAGAATCATACAAACTCTAAAAAATAATGGCTGCTCTGAACACAAACAATTGGGAATCTTTTGTGTGCTGTGCTAAGTCGCTTCAGTCGTTTCTGACTCTGTGCGACTCCATGGAGTATAGCCTGCCAGGCTCCCCTGTTCATGGGATTCTCCAGGCAAGATTACTGGAGTGGGTTGCCAGTGAATCTTCCCAACCCAGGGATCCAACTCAAACCTCTTAAGTCTTCCACACTGGCAGGTGGGTTCTGTACCAGTGGCACCAACTCAGAAGACTGAATTCTCTGAACACAAAGGATTGGGAATCTTTTACCCCTAAGTAAAACCCTCTGCTTATTTAGCTTGTATGTACAGTGTATTATGTGAAATGCCGGGCTGGATGACGAACAAGCTGGAAACAAGGTTTTTGGAAGTATCAGTAACCTCAGATAAGCAGATGACACCACCCTTAAGCAGAAAACAAAGAGGATCTAAAGAGCCTCTGGATGAAGGTGAAAGAGGAGAGTGAAAAAGCTGGCTTAAAACTCAACATTCAAAAAACTAAGATCACAGCATCCGATCCCATCACTTCATGGCAAATAGATGGGGAAACAATGCCAACAGTGACACACTTTCTTTTCCAGGGCTCCAAAATCACTGCAGCCATGAAACTAAAAGTTGCCTGGTCCTTGGAAGACAAGCTATGACAAAATCTAAACAGCGTATTAAAAAGCAGAGACATTACTTTGGGGGCAAAGGTCCATCTACTCAAAGCTCTGGTTTTTCCAGTAGTCATGTATGGATGTGAGAATTTAACCATAAAGAAGGCTGAGTGCCGAAGAATGCTTCTGATGTTGAAGAAGACCCTTGAGAGTCCTTTGGACAGCAAGGAGATCAAATTAGTCAATCCTAAAAGAAATCAATCCTGAATATTCACTGGAGGGACTGATGCTGAGGATGATGCTCCAATACTTTAGCCACCTGATGCGAAGAGCCGACTCACTGGAAAAGACCAATGCGGGAAAGATCTAAGGCAGGAAGAGAAGGGGCCAATAAAAAAGGACAATTGGTTGGATGACATCACCGACTCAATGGACATGAGTTTGCACCAGCTCTGGGAAATGGTGAAG